CCACACTCCTTCCGCGTCACCTCCTATCAACGGAATGCCATTCGCGCCTCGAGGCCACACCCCGCAGCCGCAAATCGCATCCCGACCATCATCCCGAAATGACTTCCGTCGCGATCTACGTGTCCCTCAACCAGGCGCTCCTCAGCAAGTTACAAATGGTTACGCGTACATGCCTCAGCCTGCTATCTACAACCCGCAGAATCAAAATGCCTATCAGCACGGTATTCCGCCGGCAGCTCCGGCTCAATATCATCAATACGCTGCTGCCCAACAGCACGCTCCGGTCCAGTCATATATGGAGGAACAGCGCCGGTCATCCGTGCCTCCTAGCTACCCTCCACAGAACCAGCCACCGCGTCCTTCTCCGCCGCAACCGACTCATCAAATGACTCCTCAGCAAACGCCTCACATGTCTCCTCCCCAGCCGCCGCCTCAACATCTAGAGCCCCAGCATCAGCAACACCAGCAGCACCAGCAGCAACAGCCACCGCAGATATCGCAACCAATGCCGGAACCCCAACTACCTGCACCCATGGAACCCAAACATGAGCCACTCCAAGAGAGGACCGGTCAACGCCTGTTAGATACAACATCGGCTATTAAAAAATTACCGCAGCGCAAGGGACACAGCATATTTACTCCGATTGACGAGAATCAATCGATCCTATCTATGCATTTGGATTCTTTTACTGCTGAGCCGCGTAGTAAGGATGACGGTAATCGGTCCCAATCCGTGGATGTTGGAGCTGTATCGCGTGCCAGATCTGACTCATCCCCATCTTTACCGCAACGTTCTAACACCTCCAACCTACCCAATTCCCGCAATTCCATACCTACAATTCCCGAAACCACATTCACCCCTCCTTCTCGCTCAAACAGCTTGAAGGTTGGCGGTGGATCGCGGCCCCGCCTAAAGGTGCAAATTCCCGAGGAGCAGTCCGAGGCCGGTAGCACTGCCGGTGGCGACACTGCTACCTCTCCCCGCACCACTACGGATACTACCGCCCAGTCTGCTCGTCGGAATGGTGTAGAGGGCCCCGGAGCTGGTGTAGTTCTTCCGCCCCCTTCGCCTTCGGCATCGGCTATGTTATCTGCGGGAGCAACTGGTCCGCCAAACCCATTCGCTCGGCCTCATCCACAGACCCAGAACAACAGCAGCATGAACATCGACACGCCTGTCTCAGCCCTCCCGTCTAGGTTCCTCAATAACGAATTCCTACCTAGTCCTAGTAGTTTCTACCCCGAGTGGAACTATCGAGGTAGCGACAGCAACACCCTCCCAAGTCCTCTGAACTTCGCTACGCCGGTGGTTACCTCGGGACCTTCCTTTCTAAGGGACGACAACGGTCCAAGCGCCACAAAGCGGAAGAGCCCGGATATCACTGCTGGTCATTCGGACGGACCGGATGGCGGTGAGCCCAAGAGGATCCGGGTTGATGGTTAACCGTCCTTTAGTGTAAATTCATCTCATTGACACTACCAGATCCGCTACTCAGATTCTGATTCTTTGATTTCCACACTTGTTTATACCGCAACTCGCACTTGTACAACATTATAGAGCATTGGAGGGCATCATCACGAAGAGTTATTTGAATACCTCCTTGTGTGTTTTTACCTGGCATTTGCTGGCTTAAACTTCAAACTGCGGCGGATTCGCTCGTTTATGTCTTACGCCATGCAACTTATCTTCACTTCACAGCATTGGCGTGGCGCTCAGGTGTTCTCATAATGGTGGTGTTTTTTTTTTTTTAACGTGTGTTTTTACCCTCGACCTCAAACCTCAAAATTTTATACGAGTCGGCAGCCGCAAGCTGCCGGGGACGGTGGATTTAGAGACGGACACGACGAATGAGTAATGGAATTTGTGGTTAATCAGCTTCATCGCATTCTATCCAGGAAAAAAAGTTTGTGAGGGAAACTTTTTGAGACGAACATGGGGCGGCGTTTTAACGGGCTTGTACACTATCTAAGGTTATTAGAGATACCAGAGGCGGATGGGAATGGGCACATGTTACCAGATCCTGAATGAGACTTGCATTTGACTTCTAAACTACTCTTTTTTGGTTTTTTGTGATGGTTTCATTATTTGTGAATGTATACCATGTGTACCTAGGTACCTTACTTGAAAAATAAGCATGATAACCCCTTACAACCTTGGTACTAGTACTTACCGTGATACTGCCTATGTAATTACCTAAGGTTAGCGTTAATATTGACTCTAGCAAGAAACAAGGAGCAACCACCAATGGGTGATGGATACGAGGGTGTACAGGATTCAGATAGCTAGCTGGATCCTACGGTCAGCGATGACGTCGGGGGAGCTAGGGAGCGGGGAGCCAAGACTGGACGTAAGTAGCCTGGTCCTAGGTGTTGAGAAAGGCGAAAAGGAAGTTCAGCTGAGTTGGTTGGCTGGATGCCGAGCTTAGGACGCCTACTAAGAGAGGTATGTAAGGAGGTGTGTGAAACAGAACTAGTAGTAGTGGTAGTAGGATGTAGGCAGACTGCGAACCCCATCTTATGTACATAGATATATCTCATCACGAGAGCTGTTAGGTTAGGCGTCTTTTCGGCAAGTGGCTTGCCGGATATGCGGGATCGTCTGGTATGTCTGCCGTGTTCGAAGGCGGCGGCGTAGTAGTCGCCGTCTGTTGATCCCTTGCTGGCTGTGGATGGATACGGCGGCGGCGGGATGGATGACCGGGCCTTTATTTTTTTTTCTTTGGGTATACGCGGCGGCGTAGGTAGGGAGGTTGGTCGGGTATTACTACGAGGGGGGTATTTGCTGCGCCGGGTCCGAGCCGGATGGGAAAATCATGGTGGGCAAAGGCGAGGATGAGGATGAGGATGTAGGTGAGGACTTGGATCTTGGGCTGGAGCTTAGCCCCTTTTGCCTAGACTAGAGGTGAAAGAAGGGTGGTACACGGTTATTGGTAGAGAGTGGGAGAGCGTGGAGGAGTTGGAAGGGCCGAGGGAGCGTAGAGATCGGGCGAAAGAAGATACTACAACTAGGTTAGGAGGATGTAAGCGGCGTCTAGGTAACCGGGGTTCTGGGAAAGGCGGCGCGGTCCGTGGGCTTGGGTCGTGGACCATGGATCGGAGAGACTGCGGGCTATGCAGTAATAACAATATCCTATCTACCGCCCCGTACCGTAGCTAATACTTGGTACGTATGTGCGTATGTGGATGTAAGTGCAGAGAGACACGTGTGAGTGGATATGGTTGGTAGATGTACCTAAGACTTAAGTCACAGATCCATCCGTCCATCCATCCATCCATCCGTCGGCAAGTACCCGGTCTACGGAATACCCAAACGGGAAGGACGGGAAGGTTAAATGGCCCCCAATCCCTCGAGCTGAAGTCCAGAGCGCTGGGTTCAGAGCTTGGGTATATGCAGGTCCCGCGCCATATCACCTTCTGAGGCAGCAACGTCCTAGACGGGGACGTGAGTGGCTAACGAATAGTAGACTACTACGGTGCTTTTTGCTCCTACGTCTTTTAGACCTACATAAAAGTTCTTACGGCTTGATCTGGGACTTGGCGTGTTGCTCACTGCCTGGATCGGTAGGGCTGGCTGACGTGACGGGCGAGAGTAGGCTATTACATCGGCCGCGGGTGAGAAAGGGGTGGGGAGTCTGGGGGGGAATGTAGTGTAAGTATGTCGTGCATCTAGAGATAAGGTTCGATTTATACGGCGTATTCACTCAAATAGTCGCTTTGATATTGTACTAGGCACTAGCTGTGGTGCCTCCATAGGGATCTGCCACGCCTTCTCATACGTCCACGCCCCCTATTCCACTTCACCTAAGTCACAGATAGGTGCGTTCATCTTTATTCTCCGAGAGCAGTGAGTGTAATTTAAAAGAAAAACTTGGCATGTGAGTAGCCGTATCGGAGTCTTCAACTTAATTACCCCTATTTTCATTCGATGTGGGTTAAAAGTAAGCAGTGGCGCTTTAGGGACATGATTCCGTAGATCCCCACGCAGAAGCTAAGATCGCCGTCAACCGGCAACGGACGATACGTATAGCTTCGTGCAACTTAGCCGTAGGGCTGATTTTACGTGTACCGTACTGTGTTACTTCCCCGAAGCTAGTGAGGTCACTCCGATCTAGGTAGATAGATTATGCTAAGCTACCATCCTCGTAGGAACAGGGGTTGCGTAGGACGACCAGACGCTCATCTATCACCTAGTAGCTTAGTAGCTCTCATCAAGTGCGAAACAAGCCGCTATACTCGCTAAGATATTGTGCCATACCCGTATATGCAGGCGATTCACCCCGAGCTCCATCCCATGCCGTGGCTAACAAATCAAAGTCAAGGAGATGGAATGTACAAGCCACTTGTCTCATGATTCCGCGATCGGTGTTCTGAATAGGCAGGGAGCGTCAATAGCTGGATGTGGCTTTCGTTCTTGTACGACTCCCGACACATACCTACCTCTCAGGTAGCTACCTGTCGATCGTGGCTTGATTGACCTGAAAACGAGCGGCCGATTCAACGAAGAAGAGTATCGAAAATAAGCGAACGGCTAGTAACTCTCGCGGGATCGGTCCCCGCTGTCTCCTTGTTGATTTGGATCCAAGCTCCAAGCTCTAGCAATGCCTCCACCGGTAACACAGACGGAGATGTGTTTGACACGAGGGGGTTGGGCTGTGGTTGCGTCAGCATTCACCAAGTGCATTCCTGGCCCTGCCAGCATGCCCTGCCCGAGACAATTATACGCTATCAGCGAGTTCTAGGAACTGTTGTCTTTTCACATGTCTGTAAATTACTTATGTGTAAAAGCAACGTTACAAGATCAAAGGAAGCAACGTGATATACCTATAGGTAAGAGAAATCCATACCTCGTATGGGTGTGTATAGATTATAGTTACCTATTGTACTGATGACATGGTAATTCAGACCCCGACAAATAGACTATGACATATTCATTACAAGCCGCCGTAGTATACACTAAAATAATTATAATCCTGGCCAAGAAGAAAAAAAAGAAAGAGATCATTCGAATCAGGGATTCGAACCCTATGCTTGAGGGCTCACTTAATCAGAGCATCGTCATGTGTTAGCCTATTACACCAATTCGAACTGGAATCCGATCGTTGAGATCTGGGTTCTTAGTAAAATAGCATAGAGACTACTGACTTATAAGTACCTACTTAGCTTTCGGTGTTTGCTAGCTAGTCCTATTGGCCACACATGTGTTTGGTATGACAAGCATACATTGTTCGGATGAAAGAAGGGAAATGTCACATACCTAGTACTTAAGTACCTACATTAGATACCAGCAAATACTGAAGTTTATTTTAAAAGTTGCTTATTGATCTCATCTGGGAGCCCCTATTCAAATATCTATATCGTTATGAGCAAATCCATGTGGTGTATTATTAGTCTCCTATTTTCATATGCGGTCTATTTGGTAGCGGTGGTGTGTATAATGACAGTTTGGACATCATAATCCGTCCCTCTCTATCCTGAACACATTACAATAAATAAGAATAGAGGATTTGTCAATGCTTATTCCGAAGGCAAAGAATACTCGTCACCTGGAGCAATATAGCAAGGCGGGATATTGTACGGATCGACCCCTTTGAATGGAAAGCTACAGCTTCTTTGCAAGATCGATGGAAAGGCCTTTAAACGATTTGCCTACATTCGGGGAGCAAAGGGATTATCACCAAGGCCCTACTAACATATCACCAGGATTTAATAACTCGAGAGACTCGACATCGAAGAAGGTTAAGAGAAAAAAACGTGAATGCGTTGGCACTATTATCGAATAAAGTACCTAGGTATCTTCCAAGCTCTTTCCGTCCCCCAATTGTTTGCGAATGGGTATATCTCCTACCCCTGATCGTCTCATTACTCCTCGAACGCGAAAAACCAGAAACGACCGAAAGGATTAATCTGCAATAAGACATGTTTGTTGTTGTTTTTTGACTGGCGCAGGCAGCAACCCAAGAAAAATTGATCATAGCCAAGCTATGCCTCCTTCATCCAGGGTTACTGTATCGCCTCGAAACCGAATTTTCTCAAAGAGACCGAGATTCGACCATTCTCCCATCCGCGAATCACCAAGGAGTAGTCGGGGACGTCAAACGCCGAATTTCAAATTAGTGAAAATTTAAATCCCAGTCTGGTCCTGGTTACGAAGGGAACATGAAAGGGCATGTTCTATTGGTATCATTGAAATAGAAAAAAAAGTGGACAAGGTTGGTGGTATTAACGAGCAGTTGTACAAGCGCCAAATGCTGCTAGAGAAGAATGCATCTGGAATCCATGGCTTCTAGGTGGAATGATGTAGGCGAAAGTTTATTGTTGATAACCGTATTGTTTGGTACCCAAGTCTTCATTTAAAATACCGCCCCTAGCGGCGATTAGGGGGAGTTCCGGGTCCAGCGGCACCATCCATATTCCCGGTTAACTCGGCAACACGGGCCTTAATTCGAGCTACACGAGATTCAATAGCTATGGCAAGTTAGCAATTGAGTTGTTAGATAGAAGAATGTGACTCTTACTCTCTTCACCACTGGTGTCGTCATCGCCATCCGTGGTCTTGCTGTACGCACCCCGACTCTGTTCCTCACTCTGTCGTGCCGCACGATCAGCTGCGTTCCTCCTAATAGCGGCCCATCGATCTTGCATCGGAACAGTAGGTGATGGTGCACCGATATCGTCATCCTCTTCAATAGGGAGGTGATTGCTGGGATGTCTGGCAATTGGTGGCGGTGCGGCAGAGTCCACACTTTGATCATCATCGGGGACGAAGGCGGGTTGATCTGTGAGAGGGCCTTGGTCGAAGCGAGAAAATTCCTGGTGAGCTTCGGCAGCTTCCGCAGTATCAACACGAGACAGGTTGTCATCGATAGATGGGTCATATGTTGGCTGTTGGGGTGCAGGAGTGACCGGTGTTTGCGTAGGTGTCCTTTCCTCTGGTCGTTCTTCTGGTGCCTCGAGGGTCGAGTCGGCAGAAGCTGGTTGAATTTGCTGTACTGGAGTTTCACTTCGCACCGGCTGCGATGGTTCTGAAGCGAGGAAGCTGTTGATGTCGGTGGCTGCATTCTCCGGTAACTTGGATTGTCGATTCTTATTTCGGCCGAACAACTTTCTAAATCCGCCGGTCTTCTTCTCATCCTTGTGGAGCTTCTTGTGCTTTTTGTTGTCAGGGCTACTCGGTACGGGTGAAAGCATATTTTCTCGAGCAGCTTCATGATTTTCTTCTTCACGTGGAGGAGGCGGTAGTGGTGAATCTCTACCCGTGGGTCCTGATCGCTCAGCGGGGTGAATTGCTTGCGGAGGCTCGGGTTTCTTGTCCGCTACTGGGGCCGAAGTGGGAACAGGTGTAACAACTACTGGGGACTCATGTTCGGGCTTGGGCTGTGGTGGCGCTACGGCCGGAGACGGGGCACGCTCTACCGCTTCCGGCTTTAAACTGCTGCCGTTTGCTGCAAGCCCATTTGTTGGGGGATGGCTAGGCAACTGAAGGGATGTTTGAGATATGCCACGACCAGCAAAAGCGTTGCCGAGATACGCCTCGCGGATAGCTTCTTTGTCATACTTGTTTGCCCATTTCATAGCCGGAGAAGCCACATTCACAACACCCGGTTGTAAGGTAAGGATGCTGTTGGTCTTTTCCTTGAGAACATCGGCATCCGTACGTCCACGCCTTTCCGCTTTTGGCATTGATTGTTGTTCTTGAAGCTGCTTGGCTTGAAGTTTTTGCGCAGCAGCCTGGATCTTCGCATGTTGGTCAGGTCCGATGCTGGTCTTGCTTAAACCAGCACCCGTAATAGCACCAGGATTTGCGCCCTTATCGGCGACCGGCTTGGAGGTTGACTTGCTTCGGGATACACCTCGTCCTCGTCTGGTCCAGCTAAAAAAGCCCTTCTTCTCCGCGATATAGGCGTTCGCGTCGGGCTCCGGGGCGGCGCCTTTCACCATCTCCTCCATCACAAGCCAGCGGCCTTGTCGAATGAGCGTCTCAATTACCGAGCATCTCCCAAATGCAGATTTACGCTCAGCAGTCTCCTCGGGGGCCAAACTGCTCATCCACACCCACCAGAATGCGTCATCCAGGTCAAATCGACTAATGCTAGCTAATTCACCGGGCTCCAACTGACTCGTGCTCTCTAATCGTGGACGGTGCGATTGCGAACTACGTTGTCGGACAACCGTCTCGATAGGTGGCAAGATCTTATCCGGTGGCAGCAAGAGATTAGACGGACTATTCGGTGCATCATCGACAAACCCAGAAGATAGGAAGTCCGCCCAAGAAGGTGTAGTCGGTCTTCCAAGATTACCACCTGATGCCGGGGTAGTTCGTAATCCGCGAGGATTTCGAATTTGGTTAATCTTAACCGTCTCATCATCCTCTTCCTCCTCTTCTAAGGTATCTCCGAAACCAATATCCTCGAATCGAGACCACGAAGCGTCTCGTAGACTAGTAGAATGCTTCGAGCTGGAAACCTGGGATTGATTTGCGAGGGAAATCGCCTTGAGAACTCTGCGGCACTCTTCAGTTAGAGCCTTCACGGGGTCCTCGAATTCTGAAAATTCGCGAAGCGCTTGATCCTCGTCACGATATTGGAAATGGTTAGCACGACGTAGAAGTGCAAATGGCGTCGGCGATACGGTGTCGACAATCATAACAACCTTGTAGGTAGAGGACATCAATAGTGTCGGGGTCTGTGGGGGATACTCAGTTTCCTGCAGGAGTTTCTGCAGGGACATCGGAAGCATGGATATACCCGCACGAGCTTGTTGGGGAGACAACGATCGCAGGTAGGCGAAGAACAGATGGCTCGTGGCATCAGCAGCACTAGAAACCATTAGAAATTGTCGCGGCGGCGATTTTAGGACGTAACATACCTCAGCCATGCTTTGTACCCACCTTCAAAGCCGTTGCCAGAGTCCTTGTGTTCGAAAGCCCACCATGCCGCCATACGAGATAGTTTACGGCCACCGAAACCGTTCGATTTGCCATGGGCTGCGATTGCGGAAAGTAAATCGAAGTAGTTGAAGATGATCTGGGATTTTGCCTGGTTCTCGACACTGAGTGGAATGAAAGTCGAAAAGGAATCGCGCGCCATGCTCGAGTCTGCGGAAAAGGCAATTTCTTAGTACGTAATCTCATACTTTCACCGGAGGAGCTCAATATACCTTGCTCTCCAACCCTGAACAACTCGTAGGCATCCCAGCCTACGATTCCACCTTGTAGTCTGCTCCAGCACCATTTCAATACACCAGATATGACCTATATGACTGTCAATACATATTTTTCAGACCAGCGCATTTTGGTATGTTGAGACATACCATAGGTTCGGTCATCCGCAGCTCCTGCTGGAGGGCTTCGCCGCGCAAGTTTTGGTTGCCATCGAAAAAGTGGCGGATGAAGGTGCGTACGGCGCTAGGATCAGAAGTAGGGCGGAATGGGAGAAGAAGAAAGGGTAGGTCGAGAGCTGTCCAACCGGACGTGTTAGTCAACTTATTTTTTTTGTTATTCTGCATGGAAAGAAAAGGTAGGTATAATTAGTTGAGTACCTCTTGCTTTTAGCTCCTCTGTGCAAGTCTTGATTAGTTCCTGGACTTCATCTGGCTCGATGGTTGTTCGCGTGTATGCGTCTTCCCAGCGCGGCTTGTTGGATAGTTGATGGGTCAAGTCGTTGAGATTGGCATTCTTTTTGGACTTGAGTTTGGCGCCATCCTTGCCTCTTATCCTCGAGAAGAGACTCGGCATGGTGATTGGTTGTGACGAGGTGGTTATGTAGATGGATACGAAAGAAGGCAGACCACGTAAAAAAGTCACGTCAAAAGATTGAAAAGCTTGGGAACAGATAACCGAGTGGGTGTTTTGATAATAGTGGGAATTTAGAAATTCAGCACGGGCTTCAGCTACCGCATAAGATGTTTGGAAGAGGAAGACGACGACTTGGACCAAGTTGCGCACAGCGGAGTGGGGGTTGGGTATCAAGTAGTAAGTACTCTGTAGTAGTGTAATAATATCGAATTGTTATTGCTCGACACCGTCCACACCCAGAGACACCAGACCTGGTATTGATTGAGTGATTGAGATGTTCTGTGCCTTTTTT